CTCATGGACCAACCATCTGATTCATTGTGACTTTTTTTCCCCTCTAATGTCTAAAGTTGTAATTGGGAGAGGAAAGTGTGGAAGAGAGAATAAAAATCAAGAGATAAAATAAGAAATGGGCTTGGGAAAGCAAGGAAAGCACCTTGTAATTTACTACTACGAGGAATGTGGGAACAGTGTTAATGCACAAGTAGTTTTATGTCCTGGTTAAAAACAAAAACATTTTGATTGATTTTGCTTAAATCTGGACAGTTTTTAAGACTTTTTTTTCATATGCTGCTAGAAATTTGGCCTGTACAACCCCAAATCTACATTTTTTTAGCCTAAGCTGGCTTCAATTAGAATAAATTTAAATTTGGGAGTGATGTCTGCCACAAGTTAGTCCATGTTTTGTAGTAACGGGGCATAAGTTAGCACTTGTTACAGACAGATTTTTTTTTTTTAATAATTTGGCTCACCAACGAGCAGTGTCAGTGGATTCAGTTTCATTAGGCTAAAGGTTAATTTGGCTCTGAAATCTAATAATTTCTTGGCAACTGTGACACAGAGAACTTTTGAACACTGAAGTGAACCATTCCTATAAAAATCCAAGTGAAGGTGTTGAAGACTTCAGTTTTTCATCCGTTATGGTTGTGTTTCATTTACAGCTACTCAGACTGAAGAATCCTCACGTGGAGGAGAGTAAGTAGGTTGGGAAAGAGGTGATGGGAGATTGCTGGTGGGCAATAGTTTTGCATCCTATGGCTTTACATAAGGCAACGATATGCTGTTGATTGAACTATTTTGGCTTTTTATGGCAGCTGTGGCCTGTATGTGGTTTGTATCAGAGGTATTTAGACCCGTTGATCCATACAGCAGGAGATTCAGTCACCATGTTGCCATCCCTGTCTGACATGACTCAGACCCAATGGAGACAGGATGACTTTAAATCATAACTAGTGTATGAAAGCGTATGAAATTCCCCTCTCCAGTTCCTAAGTGTTCAGAACAAAGTCATTTATCAAGTACAGCACCTTTCTTGATAAGAAAGTTTGACATGGGGACTCTGTCTTCAGTAAAGTCCTTGTTAAAAGCCAGTTGGGGTATCCCGTACTCCTATTATTCTGTCTTGTGCTCTTATTTGGTTGTGTGAGGAAGGCTGGGCTGAGTGTCACCCCAGACAGGTCCATACTGTTTCCCAGAACAAATGTGGACAGCAGTGAGCAAGCCTGTTGGAGCCATGCCAAGAGCTATGCTGCTGGGGAACCAGCTATTTTCTCAGAGTATTCCGGCTGTCATTCTTCATCCAAGCTAGTTTAGACAGCTTTTCAGAGCATCATCTTCTACTGTATGACCTTACTTTTTGAAAGGATGCTAAATACTGTGGCTCATGGTGCTTGAAGCAGGTTGCAGAGTAATCAAGGTTAAGGTTATCAAGGTTTACTCCATGATAACCTTACCAGAGTTGGATTCCTTTCCCTCCGAGCAGAACTGTGTAGACAACCCAGTCCTAGACTGCAAACTAGGGTGGTGGTGCTGTTTTCAGTGGTCATGGTGCCACGAGCTCACACACACAGAGGCAAAGATGCTGGGAATGAGAACTCTGAGGAATTTGATTTCAAGTCTTTCATTCCAACTCCCCTTTTGCTCAGGGGTGCCTAGCAAGGAGGGAGAAGAGCTTTTCTGTGAGACCTTGTACTGTGACGTGGCATCTTCCGGATCCAGGCTGGTCCAGATCTCTGAAACACAGCCAGCAAATCTCCTGCCGCTGAGAGGATGGCTGTGAAACAACTTTAGATTTGCAGCACGTTGGCTGTTGCTCGGTAATTGTTCTGTGTGGGTTTTACTGCTTGGCAAATGAAAGATCACTTGTTTCTCGGTTACTGCTGGGTAGGAGCTGGCACACAGCAAGCACCGTGGCTTTGGCTGAAGGGCTCTGAATCTCGACAGGAGATAGTTGTACCCTGGGCTACACAGCACCAAGGAGTGCTCTGCCTACCTCTGTGCCAGGGTTTGCAGTCAGCAGCTGCCTTAAAGTTACAAATGTTCAATTCAAAGAGAGTTGTCTCACCTATATGCTTAATTCCTGATATCCTTTATTCCCTTCCAAACAGGCTGCTTTCATTTAAAGCTCTAATCTCAAACAAGTGAGGCATATCCATATGATAAAGGCATTTTCCTGTGTTTCTGGACAGGGATCTCTATACTGAATAAAATTTACTATCAGTTATGCTTCCTATGCAGAGAGATTGACAGTTTCCCTAATGGGACATTAGCTGTGCTTGATTTTAAATCCACTATGGCCGTGCTTCTTACTGTGTGAAATAACAAATTGTGAAAGAAAAGGCAAAGTGGTTGCAAAATCAAATACATATTGAAAATGAAGTTAAGCCTCTAACCAGGGAAACATAAAACATACTGTGGGAGTTCATATCTACTTTTGCTGAAATAGTCTGTGTTCTGATTATTGCTTATATTATTTAAATAAATGGGTGCTTCCCTTTCTCATGCTGCTCACCTTTTTTCCTGAAAGTAGTTTATGGGACTACAGACCTTCCTTTCTCCCTTGCAAGCTGCTCTAGGCACAGATAATCGTGGTCTGGCTCCTGGCTTTGTTTAATACAGTCTGATCACAATACTAACACTTCTGTAGTACAAATAACTATTTTTATATCAAATATGTCACTTACAGAGTGATGCTGAGACTTTAGTCACTTGTTAAGGTCATAAAGCTACTTCTAAAAGAGGATTGAAAATAAATGTCTCTTTAGCAGGTTATTTCAGAAGAACCCTCTAAGTCCTTTGCTAACACAGTAATGACAAGTGGTTTTGGGGCTGGAAAAGGTGGACTTGAGGTCTGGACCATTTCAACAGGGCCGGTTTTGCTCTTGTTGGATGTTTTGCTTTTTAAAGGGAACCTTGAGATATTTTTTGTCTTCCGAGGGTAATGACGGGATATCACAGGAAATGTTTGTTCACTGATTTGCACAGTGGAACATGCTGAAAATATTTTTTTTTTCTTTATGGAGTGGACACAAGCATAAGATGGCTTCTCAGTTCATGCACAGCTGTAGCAGATACAGTTTTCCTATAGAAACACATCCCGGCTGTTTGCAAAATGAGGACTGTAGCTCTTCTTGCAACTAGCCTAATTGCCTTTCCGTAATCCCTGGCAACTCACTGAGCTGATTTTTGGGGCATGCAAGAAGAAAAGGAAGAGAAGAGGAAAGTCAGGAAACCAAATGCTTTCTTTCTCACCTAAAGCATGGCTCCAAGGGGTAGGAGGACAGGAATTCCAATGGCAAGGAATCAACCAAACCCCTGTTCCACCCTATATAACTAATTTTTTTCCCCCCAATTTCATGTGACTCTAAATTGCCATAAATATTGCCCATATTCCATCCTATCACATGGTATTCCTGCTTCTCAGGGTAAGTTAAATCGCTGCTCTCTGTAGATAATAACTTGTGATAGCAGCAGCACAATTGCTTTCAGTGAAATTGGTGAAGCTAGTTATATCGTATTTCCAAAGCAACCCTGAGGTAGAGTAACAGACTGTGCCTGTGCTTCTGGAGTGGAAGCCTCTTACCCAGGCAGCATTTCATGCTAATTGTGTTAAATGGTAGGGTGGCTTTTTTTCTCCCACTTCTCCACAGAAAGTTTTGAAAAGTGTGCCTACAAAAATGCTCCGTGTTTTGAATTGACAGGTGAGTGAATGGGAAAAAGTAATTCAGTGTTGGAAAAGAGGGCTGGGAAGGGGGCATAGGAGAAGCAGGCAGAGGTTAGAGTGGTGTCTCTGTACTTGGTGAGACCTGATTCCTCACCAATTCAAGCAGCAGTTAGGAACAGTGAGTCTGCCGAGGAGAAGCACAGCAGCCACTTGCTGTGAGCTGCATTTCCAGCAAGCAGCCATAGGCAGTGTAAAACACCTCCTACTAGTCCCTGGAGCTCTTTTGTTGTCAAAGTCAAATGTTGCCATACAATGCCTTTACAAACCTCATATGGAAGTTCATAATCACCACTAAAATCAGTCAAATTCCTCTGGCTTGTTGCCTTCATTTAAAAAGCAAATAAAATGCCACTGCCTCACTGTTCATATGCAACAGTAAAAAGAAAGAAAATCACAGCAATATTTTTTTGCCAGGCCTCATAACTGTGAATCACTACCCAAAGTGCAGGATGGAAAGGATTAGAAGTAAGGTTCCTCTTAGATGCTTTCATGTATGTACCAGCCAGTGCTTTCAGAGCCCTTTATAAGGAAAACATGCTTGCAATGTGTCTTCTAGGAGTGATATTATTTTGTCATAAGACATAAATAATAAATGTAACGTCAGGGTAATTCAGAAGGCAGGGACTGCAGATATGCTAGAAATAATCTAGTTGCAAAAGCTCAATGGAAGGAACAAAAAGAAAATGCGAGAGTGAGATAGACAAACATTTTTATATGACAAAAATCATGCAAACAGGACTTGACTATAAAAGCAGGTGGATGATGCATTTCTACATGTATATTGCATCATTTAAAAAACAAATAACCAAAAACCCACAACCCTTTATCAAAAGATGACAAAATGAATATGAATTGCATCGGGTTGTACTGAAAGCACCTTTATACAAACAGCATCACATTCGTGCATACAAAGAACTGGATTCTGTGCTGTAAGGTTACTGACCTGACCTGACTTCCTACTGAGGATTTTGTTGGCCTCTTGATGTTGAGAAAATGTGGGGACGTAGAGTAAAACGGTGAATTTCTTCAATGCCTCCCGACTATAATAAATGGCACTAATTTGGTGGCTTATTCTATGTATAATAAATTATTTAGAAGATCAGTCGAGTTCCTGCATGTATACATCTTTAACTGTGATCATAAAAAAGCATAATACCCCAAAACCGTAATAAAACTCTAATAGCAGTTGAAGTAGAAAGAAACGACAGTTTTGTCATAAAGAATAGCTATTTGGATCCATCTACTGTTCTTGAAATGAATCAATAAAACGTTTCCCTTTGTTTTAATGCAGGAAGTGGGATCTAGATGAAGCGTATCAAAGCAAACAGAACGTATCAAGCACAATTGTGATTTTACCCCTAGTAAATATTCCTTTTCCAAACTTCCAAGATTCCTGAAGTCCTGAGCTGCTGGAGAACAGATTGGGAGGGGTGAGTAAGAGCGCATTACTTAATTGACTTAATTGACTGCTTGAAGTCAATTTGGAAGAACTTGAAGCCTTAATAGTTAGCACTACTCCTTGTAGCTCTTAACAAGATTGCTTCACTGCAATAATTTGTTGATTTTGTTTCTTCTGGGGCATACTGCAAAATGTTAGATGGCAAAGAAATCCCAACGTACTTGTCTTCTGACCATCTGCATAGCTGGATTTGCTTTGAATGGGATCTGCCTGTGGGGCTCTGCTAAGCCTTTTCTTTGGCTTCCTCTTGGTTAGCACCCAGTGCATTACTTCCAAAGTGCAGAGGTGGGTGCTGGGCAGCCCTTCATGGCATAATGCCACCATGGTGCCCGTCCAGCAGGGACAGCTTGCTGTTCGTGCTAGGGCTGTACCGGGAGGAAGGAGATGACCTACGGCCCTGAGCTCCTGCTGGTTTTAAAATGTCACTCCCAGCACCGGTATCAAAGCCATATGCTGCTTCTTACTTTCCAATGGATTTCAAAAGGGCATATGAATGGTTGTGCTCATTACCATGGCTCACAGTGTATCTTTTTTTTTTTTTTTTTTTTTAGTTAAGGGAAATGCAGCTGAAATATATACACCATAAATAAAGCTGTGGATGAGTTTAAACAATGTTTGGGATTCCTTACATTTAAGTGTTTTCTTGACTACATCTGGTTCCAGAATAAAACGAGAGCAGAGTACAGCAGCGGTACCAGGATGAGTTTTCATACCATTAGCTGGGGGTCAGTACGCTGTGTGAGGTGGGAAGAGAACCAGAGGCTAATCTCACGTTTGCTGCAAAGAATAGGCAGGAACATACAAATTGTGATGGAAATAGGTATAAAATATCCATTATCCATGTTTTTTCCCTGAGTCCAGTGAGTAGCTTATGTCCTGAGGTATGTTTTATGAATGTGTAAATCTAATTAACTATGTGTGTCAAATATCCTTTTAAATAGGTGAATTCTCGGCTTCAGCTATATTTTTGGCAAGACTTTCAGTGGCTGATATATAGGTATTTTCTTTCCGTTGCTTCTTAAACTTGCCTTTTGGGTTCACTCTTTTGTATGCTGAAGGTACAGTTAATAGGCTTTTCAATTTTATTCCTTCTGTATCTTTACACATATTCCAGTGTTATCCTTTCTTACATGGCTTTCTGATCTTAACCTCCCTGGTCTTACACGCTTACCCCATAGTGCAAAACATGGAAAAGAACAACAAATTTGAAGATTGGGTAGGTGGAAGCAGTTTAAAGCATGTTATCTAAAGAGGAAACAACTAAATCTTTAGAAATAGCAATGTGTTTTCACCTTTGTCCTCCATCAGTTTCTTACTTCAATACAGATGTCTGTGGCTGCTTTAGCAACCGTTGCAGATTCGGCAGAATTTCTCATTGAACTAATCAAAGTGATTGCTAGGTGCTTCTTCCAAGTTTCTCATCCAGGCTCCTGCAGAATATATGTTTTATTTCAACTGGAAAGAAAAATGTACCTGACACAAGAATGTGAACTCAAGCTGGCATCTCATCGCCCTGTGACTTCAGCCCTCCTGAAGCTTGTCACAATTTTTTTTTTTTTCCTAGGCTTACTGCAAGGTTTGCTTTATCAACACATCACATCTCAGTGGTGCTCAGATATTATCTGAGCTGATTGGAGCTCTGGAATCAGTATTTGCAGGCTGCCCCAAGCGGTCTTAATTAACCCTACCCATGTTTAATGTAGGTTGAATGTTACATATAACGTATTTGGTTTCTGAGCTGGGACCTGGACTGGCAAGGGAGCGTCTGTAGCACGGTTTTGCACTCTAGGCATGCATTGCAAGCACTCTGAAGAAGAGTTGTAACTGAAGGAGCTCTCCAGCACGGCACAAATCTGAAAAGAAGCTGAAGGTACGCTGTGACGCCAAGTAGGAAGTTGGCTATTAGCAGGAATGCTATTGATCAAAAACAATTTGCCAAAACTTAAAAAGAATTTTGGGTGGATATATTACAGCAGAAGTCAGATTCTGGATGAATGCTAAGACTAACAAAGCATGTATCAGCTAAAATGTTAATTACAAATTATGCTTTCACATCCAGTGTTGGGACTGACAAGTGCAGTTTTATTTGCTGAGTTGAACCTTCTCCATTTCTTTATAATGTGTTTTCTGGGCCTCAGTTTAGAGACCTTAACACTGGGAGGACTTCTTGTATCATCCATCCTCTTTCTCCCCATACCCCGCTGCTGACTACTGGAGCACTGACTCCCCAGCTTCTTAGTAAATTTAAAATAAATGAACAAAACAAAACAAACAAACCAAAACCAAAAACAAACAAACAAAAGTAAAACACCAAAGGAACTGCCTGAATCTTTTATAAGTTTAATGATAAAATAATTAAAATGGCCTTCAACAGCACAGATGACAATGATGAGACATGTCTCTGCCAGTTTTACTACCATGTAGTTGCCTGAATATGGGGAAGAGAAAGCAGAGGGTGTTTCTGACAATATGATTAATTACAAAATGATTTGCTAGCAGAGCTACTGATTTTGCTTTGTTAAATCCCACTCGGCGGTGAGTACAATGAGAAGCCATTCCATTTAATGCAAGGTACTGATTTAAAGCCTGCCATCCTTAGGTTGTGGATATCTGAAAAAAAAACAATTCCATTCCTGTTGGACCTCTAGGCTACCGTGTCCTAGAGTAACTTAATGAAAATGCAGTTTAGAAATTAAGAACAAGCGGTGTAGGTTAATGTAATGTTTCTTTGTCTGCCCAAAGAGATTATCGCAAGGCTGAGTTGTTAGGACGTGTTAATCATTGGCAACAGTGGTTCCAAAATAAATGGCTTTTAAGGCTCATTTATTTAAATATCTTAAAGCATCTGAAGAGTGTTCCCCCCATTATTTGCTTCCCCTGCTGCTACTAATAAATGTCTTCTGTTTGCTAGATGCCTTTCACAGTGAAGTTAGTCTCCAGGAGGCTTGCAGTGGTTACGGGTAACATGAATTCACCCATCCCTGCAATGCAGCCAGCTGTAGAGCTGAAAAAGCACCACACATTTCGGCAACAAGTAAACATTTTCAGATAAAATAGCCAAAAAGGGAACTTTTAGGGCACCTTGCTCAAGCTCTCTTGTATTCTCTGTCCTGGCCAAGACAGCAGCATGTGCTGTAATGCTGTCTTACGCCTTAGCCTTGGAAATGCACGCTTTATGTTAGCAGCTTTGTGCTTTTTGAAGTTAGGTGAAAACTGCTAATTGCCTAGGAAGACCTGAGAAGGCTGGATGGCTGAACGAGCACAGGTTTTATGATGCAGCACCGAGCTTCTAGGTGTCGCGTCCCTAATTCCTTTCAAATGGGTTTTTGATCCTCCAGAGTTCGGTGCCCCAGAACAGGGCTGAGTTGCTGCTCTGTGGCCAAACCACCTGAGGGATGCATTGGACAGCCCTGTCCTCTGGGCTCCAAGTCCCATGAGTAGATTTGGAGTGAATCTCAGAGCTTAACGCCCTCATCCCCTGCAGGAGCTCTGATCACAAGGACAAAATCTTCCTGGGTGGTACATGCATATGCCTGCGGCAGGGTGGTGACACCACCGGAGAAGTGCAGTTGGTGGCTTACAACAGCAACACGTGAGTAGGGAGAGCATCCCTCTGTTTCCTCCTCATTTCTTTTAAAATGAGAGTGAAGCCTGCGCTATAGCCCTAGCAGGTAGTCACCACATTTGAGACTGGCATATTTATTTAATGGCCTGTATAATTCAGAAGCCTGGTTTCACGTGTTCAGGGCTGAAAGCCTTCCCTTGATACTTTTTTTTTTGTGCTTTGCATATCGTGTTGCTATACAATCTTTGGTGTTTGCTGCTGGTTATCTAGCCGAGTTGTAACCCAGCCCGTCTGCTCCACTGAGACACGGTGATTCATAAGCAACCCGTACCTACCCGAAAACCAAATAGATTAAAATGGCAGTTTCAATCTGCAGCAGCAACGGGGGTTGTTACAGTCTGGTTGCTGGAGAATTTACTGCAGCCTGCGCCACTGCAATCAGCTGAGCACATCAGCTGATAAGAGATTGTGGGTTTCGTCCTGAAGAGATGGTGAACTGTCAAATAATGAAGATAAAGTGAGGGAATTATGCTGTTCCTGCTACTGTGCTCTGTGTCCGTGCCACATTGCGTCTTCCTTTTGCTATTGCATATATCATGTCATGCTGGTAACACCCAGGTTCATCAAGTGGGCTTCTGAGAGCCTGAAATACTGCTTGCAGAAATGTTTGTATAGCTCGCCTCTGGGCCATGCTGAGCTCTTTGCTTTGTGAGGCAAAACTGTAGCCTGGTGGCTTGCCTTGAGCCCTGGGGGAAGAGGGACAAATGCTTCTGGAAAAATGTGAGGAAAAAAGAGTGGGTTGGGATGTGCCTGAGTGCCCTAGTTCTGATGGTGCCTGTAGGAGGTGACTGCTTTGTCTCCTAAAACTTTGTTGTATGGAATTGCTTCTGTAATGATCCTTTATTATGATGTGGAGTGCGTGGTGAGGGGAATGTCCAGGCCTCCTCCTTTTTAGTAAGATGTTTTTTTTTTCTTTCCGAATAGAGGGAGAGGCGGATAAATCTGTTCCAGATGGGAGAAGAGCCGGACAGTGTGACACATGAGGCAATGCTCAACTCATGTCTCTCATCCCCATCTGATCGAGCATGGTGGTGTCAGCTCTCCCACTCGAGGACCCAGCAGCAACCAACAGCGTCTCCAGGTTTGGTCTGTGTCACAGTTCAGGAGCTGTTTTGTCTCAGGTGATGGGATGGGGGCTATCACAGAGAAAACATGCAGCAAGGCAGTGTGAGCTGTCCCTGCGCTCCCAGGCGTTGTGGGGCTGCCTCTGGCCCGGAGGCTGTACCAGGGAGCTGTCTTTTCCATGGCTGTTAAGGCAGAACTCTTCAAGCAGGCCGAGGAGAAGCAGGCACCTAGTTCTTGCTGAATTTCAGCTGCCTTCAGCTTCTTTGAAAACCCCACTTCCCATGTTTGATGGTTACCGAGGCTGCCTCCGATCTAAAATTAGCAAGTACTTGCTCTTGCAAAGAGCCCCTGGGGGCTGTTTCCGCGGCTTTGCATCAGTTAGCTGGAGCACGGGCACATTACACGAGCGTGTGATGTCAACCTGCAGCGGCCCATGCTGCACAGCCTTTCAGAGCCCGCTCTCTCCTCTGTTTTTCTTCTCTCAATACCAGAATCACAAAAGCAGTTACTGTGGTCCTGAATGCATACGTGCAGCTGGGCTGTCAGCAAGGAATAGATGTGGGCGAGTGGCTGAGGGAGCATGAATGACTGATTGAACGGAGGTAAATGCAACAAAAGCTGTGGGTGGAAAGAGAAGGCTTGGAGCTGGCTCACCCACCATTTTAATATATTCTTTACAATGATGTATACAAGCAAGGAGAGGATCGAGAGGTCCTTACTCCCCCAGCCATTTGAATTCAATTTGGTTTTGTCTTGGGTGTAGTTTTGTTTCTACGCTCTCTTTAGGAGTGGGGAAAATACCTTGGATGCCAGCGCTCTTAAAAGCATGCTTGAATTTCCTGATCCAGTAGGCTGCAGCTCCTGTGAGCACAGGGAATCTCGCTTAACTTACTGCTCCACGGAAAGCTGCTAGATAAGGAGAGCTTGGCTGTGTGCGACTGAGCAACCGACTGACTTGGGGGATTTTCTGATATCCTAAAACCTGAAGTGTTTAGCAAACAGATTAGGTCAGTGAAGCAAAACAGACATGCAGTCATTTCATTAGCCCGTTCAATTTGATGGTATCTGTGACCTGTTTGTGGAAAAGGGGAACCTTTCCATCACTGAGATGGCTTCTGTCTCGTAGTTCGGCTGTAGCTGGTTATGTAGAAAAGCAAGGGAGGAATAAACACAAAGTGATATGAACAAAAATGCTCAGTGCCTGCGTTAGCAGGCGTGTCGCAGAACAAAACTCGTCCTTTATGGCCTGCTGTGTCAGTGACCAAGCAGGAGGGAAGCGCATGGGCAGGATATCTGTTGGCTTCCCTTCCTCCAGGCATGTACTGAGCTGAGATGGGGGGAATCAAGGGAAGAGCAGGCGGCAGGCAGAGCTGTTCACACAGATGCAGCAAGTGTTGGAGCAACGAACACCAGGAGAGGAACAAGTGTTATTGTCTGGCTTCTCCTGGGGCAGGGGGGTTCGCCCGCCTTCCCGTAGGTGAGGCCGTGGAATGAGCCCTGTCTGACCTCATTAGCTTTGGTTTTCAATTATGCTAATTTGTACTCTTGGCTGTGGCTTGCTTTGTCGCCTTTGAGTTTTTGGGGAGGACAATGAGCTATAGCAGCACCTTGCCCTTGGCCAGGCAGCCTCTTTCCAACCTGCTGCTGGCAGCAGAGGAATACACAGATGTTCTTTTGCGAGCAACAAAATCCACGTGCCTCATCAGGCACACCGTCACGTTTTGTACTGCTGCCTTGCTGAGATGTAAGAGGGCTGCTTAAATTAGCTCACGGAAGTGGAGCCTGCCATAACTGTACGTAATTTGGTTGGACTTTGCTTCGACTTCATTTGGACAGTGGCTAGATGGGCTGTGCAGGTCAAACTTCTGCTTTTCTTCAGAAGGACCATAAACACTTGAAATCACAAGCTTTTGCAATCCTAACTATTAATCTGGGTTGTTTGGAGCTAGTCAGACCTCTCTCATTCAGAGGTGACCTACAGACTAGTTCCCCTGTACAAAGAATAATCGCAGGGTTGTAATGACGGTCAGGCCTGGATAGCTCACCAGCACTGCTGTGGCTGTGGCCGTAGCATTTGGAAGAGTCAAATCTCGTGTCTGAAATCTTAGTTCAGCTGTGTTGCAAAGAGGGAGCTACCTTTTTCCCATCACTTCAAACATCAGAAATCTGTCACTCTATTTCAACCTTCATGCAATTAACCCGGCTCCTGACTGGGGACTCACGGCCACTCGGTCACTGCTCTGGAGGAGCTGGCAAAGGAATACTGGGAGGGAAGATCCCAGTACAAGGAATATTTATGTGCTGAGCCCCACCCAGTGGTTAAGCCATCTTGTCTTATTCGGGACAGGGAAGGAAGCCTGCTTTGCATCCACCAAATGACTGACTGACCTTGTCTGATAAAATAATGCTACCCCTGTTGTCCTTACAAGGCAAAATAGTCAGTGTTTTGCAGCACTGGGCTGTAGGAAGTGTTACTATTTCAAAATAGCTTTGCTTGGTGGCATAGGGATGGCAGAAGCAGAAGTGTAGCTTTCTCTGAGACAATATGGGGAAACCAGCCCATACTTTAGAGAGCTCGTTTTGCTAGAGTCATGATCTCAGCTTAATTTTGCAAACACTACGTGCTTTTACTCTGAAATGCCTCCAGTGTGCAGTTTTGTTTATGTTACGTATTTTTTGCAAGGCATACAATTGGGCACAGATCTGACATCCAGTATGTGAAATTGGTAAAAGAAATTGGACCAATGTTCAGATTGACTGTTAGAATGCAGGATGTTGTTAATAACACTTCTGAAAATAATAATAAAAACAAGGTAATGTGTACTGTGTGATGGCAAATGAGTTCAGTGTTCACCCCTCACTTAGCAGGGCACACTAACAAAAAGTGTCCAGAGAATAAATACCCCTGCCTGAGGAATTTTATTATGCATCCTTTCCTCCAGGACTTGTTTTGCAATGTTCGCATCTTGTAAACTTCTACTTTAGGTGGGCAGGAGAAAATAAGGAATGATGTGACAGTGCTCAAGTGGCACAGAAATGATTGGAACAGAAGAATGTTGCCTCCTCCTTCTTCCCTTTTGTTCTACTCCTACCCCAGGCATCTAATGCTGAAAAAGAAAAATACTGAAGTTGTTTTACCACAAGAGGTGAGTTATGCTGGTGTACTTTAGCCTTGTTTTAATAAATTGAGGCAAGTTAAGGTATGGTGTAACGGCGAGGTAAAAGCTGTTTGATGGATCAAGGAGAGAAGGACCCTCTGCAGAGCTGAGGTGGAAGTTTCTTTGGTCTCACCACTTTTTGGTCAGCCTTGCTTACCACAGCTCTGGTACCACAGATTGACCGAATCCACCTTAAAATCTAAGATTAACATAGGTTGGTGGCTGTATTGGCTGTGATGGGCTTTTTGAGGGCACACTTTGACAAAGGCAGACAAAGGCTCCCCCCTTGCCCAACCATTTCTCATTCTCCATCTCCTTCCACCAGAGCAGGGTGTGTCTCCACACTGCCTTCATGTGCTGTGACCACAACAGCCAATGTGGGCTCCATTTTGCAGCTAGCCAGCTTCTGATATTTGCTTCTATGGTTAAATGCAGGTGGGGAACAAAGCAAAACAAAACCCAGCCACATTTGTGTTTTTTTTTTCGCCTTTTGGCTTTTTCTTTTTCCTCTTCTTTGTGTATCACCAGGTAGGTGATCTGTGTAGATGGCAACAATAACTTTTTTTACTGTAAAAGTTCTCCATGCATGGTTTTATCTGTTCAGACAATTAATGTGCATTAGATATATGAGCATGTTTCTTATTTAACATGCATCTGCAAACAACTGCAGCTCATATATGCATTTTTTACTTTTTAATTCTGGTGCATTCTTCCAGTGGTTTTGCGGCCTGTGTCCAACACCTGCTGGCCATGTGCTACAGGGTCTTTGCAGAGGTGAGCACTGAGACCTGGGTGCTCTGCTCCTGGGTTTTGTTGTCTGTAAGAAGAGGCTCATCCAAGCTTTGTCACCACTGTTGAGAGCTGGCAGCGATGCTGGATCAGCCCTTCCACTTGCTTGTCCTAGCAGTCCAGCCCAAGGTGACTGCCACTTCCCTGGGACCATTTTCTGTCTCCATTCAACTCTTTCCTGCCCTTCTCATGCAGTTCTTGGTTTCAGTTACTACAGCCTGATGTGCCTAGGGTGGAGCAAGATGGAGCACATTCCCCCACCTCGCTTCTGGCTGGCTTGGGGCCTGCTTCTGCAGCGATTCACTGCAGGGTCGCTTCCGTGATGCTGAAGCTTGTCAGGCCCAATGCCGGTCACCGTGAATGAAGGGGATGAGCAGTCGGTCTGCATGGTCCTGCCTCCCTGCATTAACACCCCCTCGAGGACTGTCAGGGTAAGTCTTGTCATTTGGCTCCTGCTAAGTCACAGGAACGATTTCCTACCAGGACTGGAATGAATCTCCCGCATCACTTAACCTACAGCCCTTGCAGGAATTTCTTTAATAACACGAAGGCAGAACATCAGTTTAATCCTTATTCTGCTGTGTATCACCCTATTGTTGTTGCACTACAAATATTTTTTTCATAGCATCCAGCATGGGCATACTGCACCCTCAAGGACGACCAGCTACGTCTGAACCATGAGTTGCCTCAGCAAAAAGTGGAAAATATTTGAGCATTGACAATTCCGTGAAACCTCCGCTGTAACGAGGCTCATCCAGGCAGAACCGTCCATGTCCCCTTTGAGGTCAGCAGCCTGTCGTGAGCTGTGGCTTGCTGGTAACTGCAGTCACTGAACTTGTCTGTGGTGCTTTCTTTCTCTTCAGTGTTACCGGGTTTAAAATACTCATTTTGGAATGGATTATCAGTTGAGCTCAATGGAATAGGCCCTGATAGCTGCAGGGGTAGAGTGGTGGTGATTTGCTGGTTGGTCAGTTAGTGAATCTGTTAGCTTACAATTTTGATAACATTGTAGAGCACCTACAACAGGGATCTTGGGTCAGCTAGGCTTTTAGGCTCTCATGATTTACATGTACGTAATTGTTCATGCTGAAGTGAGACTTGCTGCTGTTTCCTCTTGGTAATGCACATTTGGTTAGCAAAACTTCAGGACTTTCTGCAGAATGTCTGCTGATAAACTTGTCTGAAGCTTTGTGACACACCTTGGGGAAGTGCATGGAAATCCTGCAGCAGCAAACAGTGTGAACACAAGAGAGAAGAGGGGAACATATGCTTTTATTTTTGAAGAAGAACAATGATTTTACTTGTAGCTTACACATAATTAACTACACCAAAATTCAGAAATTCTCTTTGAAGGAGGCAGGGGGGGAAGCATCTGTCCCATCCCTTCATTCCTACTCTCAGGCCTCAGCTGTCTGCCTCAGAGCAGGGGTGGGGGGAACTCAAACAAAACCCAAATGAACAAAAGCCCTGTTTTCAACTTGTTGCTTGGAATTTCATACCATAGAAGCCACATTGTCATGAATTACATACAATTTAAAAAGAAAAAAAAAGAAAAAAAGATTTTGTACACCAGCACCAATTGATCTGAGATATCGGACATGAAAGATACTGAGTTTTTTTTTTCTCTTCTACATTAAAATACCAGCAGTCAGAGGAGGCATTGGACTATTTGTGTCAAATACTCCCTCAGTTGAAGATGAGAGCAATAAAGGCAAGCAAATCTCTGGTGCTGCAAGTATTTCTTCACTAAAGTGGCAATGTATGTCTTCCCCATTGATTTCTTGGATCCTTTTGAGACTAGTCTGCACTCTGTAGGATAGCAGTACTTCTGTGACAGTGGCAAAAGTAGCTGTCCCAGCTGCAGGAGCTGGAAATACTACTGCTTTTTGCACATCAGGGCTCAAGATTAAAGTTGTTCCAGTGACAGCTTTAGCTGTTTTAAATATTTACTGTTATTATACTTCTGTTGTGCAACAGTGAGACATTGTGCCTGTCAAAAGCTGGGTGCACTTGCTGCCTGAAAGAATGATACAGCCTCAGGAAACTGGGGGGAGATTAAAAAAGAAGAAAAGAGTTTGTGTTGGCTGGAAGGGCTGGCCTGAAATTTATCAGTGTCTTCAGTGGCTAAAGCTTGCTTGTGAAAATTCCCTACTAAGAGAATGCTGCATTGATTAAAAATATGAGGGGGCACTGACTGTCTTCTGCTGTCCGCCCTGTTCAAAGATTTCTGAAGCTTTTTGTTTTTTAAATCTCACTGATGTTGCTGGGGCTTGTGCTTGTTTTTTTGAGGGCTGACTTTGGCCTTTATATTTCTATCAGCTTCTTTGTTCTTATTACCATGTAGTGATTGTTTCTTCTGTGCTTAAACTTTTAGCAAAAGGGAATTCCCTGGCTGTATTCCCAACTGGAGCTGAAGCTAGGCTTGGAACAGGAACCTACCTCTCATACCTGCTGTACTTGGTGCACCTGGGCACGTGAGTGAAGCAGCAAAAACTGAGAACGTGAGTTGCTTTGTTATGGGTTAGCCTAAACCACGCTGGGTTGAAGATTGTGGAGTATCGTGTACCACATGTCATAAATCTAAATTCTTGTACATAGAACACTCTTTTTTTTTCTTTTTTTTTCTCCCCCTCCTTAGAGGGAAATTACAGTCTGGGGGAGTTGATGGCTTCTAGTTTGGATCAGGTACAGCTGCTAAATTGTTACAGACACAAACACGCACACACCCTTAGTAAGCCTGAAACATTTCCTTGATGTAAGTTTCTGTGGTCTGTTTTTTGAAAGTTCTAGTTTTGTTAGTTTACTACTGACCCGAAATCTCAGCATTTTCATGGTGCCCTCTTACAGAGGCAAACGAGTCGCTGAGCCACTTCCTCTCACCTGGCAGCCCAGAGAGGAGCTGGATCTGGCCTGGAGGTCCGTGAGGACTGACCCTGGAAAGGTCCCGTCATCTCCTTCACTACAGAAGCAAACTCCAGGTACGCAGTTGAAGAAATTGTTTGTGATTTATCTTTTTTTCTTCTGTTTATATTTGGCCTCCTTGGGAATGATTGCTAGGGGACACACCGACTAGCTTGGTTTATAAGAATATATGCTTTTTTGGGGGATGGGAGGATGGGGAATTTCTTAAAAGAAAAAAGTACGCCTTATACACATCTAGATTTTCAAATAATTTTGCCCAATCCTTTTCTACGTGGCCAGTTAAGTCTCGAACCTCAGAGCTCCGCTCCCATAAAGCCTGAAAATCTCAAGTCCCTCAGTTGGCAGGCACTGTCTCTATTTCCAGATCTGGGAGACATTATACATTTCAAGGATTTTGCTCTGGCTCAAATAGCTCAAGAGAAGCCTTTGTATGGAATACAAAGCTGTGTTGCCACATTAATACAGCAGTCACTGAATATTTATAACTTCATAGCAATACATCTGCAGTATTTGTGGGAGTGTTTCTAACAGAAATGGGAGGTTTCCCCAGAGAACAGATAATTTCCTGAAAATGTTTAATCAGCCCATTTGAAATAGAATTTTAATTAGCCTAAAACCATATGCGGACACTAACTCTCCTCTACAAGGTTCTCTCATTATTATAAAATCCCAATATTGTCTCTCTGGCTTATTTTTATTTGTAATGGGTCTTGGCACAATGAGTTGTTGAAATTGAGGAAATGTGACCCTCAGTGCTCATAAGCCTGATCAAATCCACCCCCCCCCACACCTTCCAAATTAACATGTAGTTAGAGAGCAAGATTTGTGCATATTTTCACGGTTTCTGATTATAAAGGAGTTTTCAGTTTTTCCTAAGTCTAAGTGCAAGCGTCTCTTAGTATACGTGAAGCACAGATTCAGAGTACTGAGAGCTTGAGGGGAGGCTCGCTATGACCAGCTCAGGTTCCTAAAGATGTCAGTGAACATACTACTAATGGACTAGCAGACTATGATCTCTGTGGGGCTTCTTTGGACAACATTATGCTTACCTGTATTTTAAGACTGTTTTCACAAAGCTCAGATAATGAAGGGGGAAGATGTCTCATTAAGCTACTACTACTTACCTGAAATTTAAAGTGTTCTTTTACCCTCTGCAAGTTGCATATGTGATCTTTTTCTCCTTTTTTGGGTATAAGCAAGCCTTCTTGCATCCTCCTTGTATCATCACATGTTCACTTAAACGTTGGAATATAGCACTGTGTGCACGCAGGCTATTATACCCATTAATTGTAGTTTATTCCTTTATTTATAATGTGTAAATGCAATTAAGAGTTTTTTTGTTCTGTTCTGGGTATCATTTATCTTAGGCAACTTATTAAACAAAGCACAGTTTTCTTTAAACATACTTCTTGTAATCACTTTAATGCGTTAGTATATAATTAGTACTGATTTACATTTTTAATTTATACAGTTTGACTTTAGAAATTAGCTTCACTTTGAACATAATTATTTAAACTCACGACGGAGTACAATTATTATTATTATGAAAGACAAATTTATATACAAAGTTTATACAGAAATGTATTAATGAAAAGTAAAAACTAAATTTCGTGTATTATAACTTCATGATCTTTGTAACTTTTCATATTCTTCCTCTTTTGTGCATAAAAATCTCCTTTTAAACAACTCTTGAGCATTATTGAAAAACTGAAATGAGTTTATAAACAATTAACTGAAGCACACAATATCTTAATATATATCTTCAGCTGTCAATCTGGAGAGAAAAATCAGCAAAGAAAGGGTGTTGAATTAGTGGTGACTTCACAAGGAGTCTTACTAATTCGCTCTTGTGATAATGGATTTCTTCCAGAGTTGGCCCAGGTGTGTGATGCCAAGACACTGGAAATGTGATGGGCGCAGTGTTACTTGCTGGAGGCTGAGCTTCTCTGGGGTGCACACCACTTGGAGACGTGGGGATTGCCAAACAGAGGAAAGCTGGAGATTTGCACTGTAAGAAATAATGAGAAATGTTACTGAATGGGCTGTTTGTGGTGTTTTAGACAGATCAAACACAGTATTTGTTGAAATGAGCATGAGGGACTCGCAACAAGTATCCTTCTTTAGATCCACCTACTGAGTATCAGCTCCAGTATTCTCTCTCCTTGCACAAGAAAGTATATGGTGATCTGTGGAGAGGTGCAATCAACGTAGCCCAGAAGTTCTGAGCTGGAGTTGTTTGCAGAATGATGATATTACCAAGAGAAATGTAGTATTTGCATGTTTTATCTCTTTTTTTTTTTTTAATGATCAAACACAAAAATTTCCACACAACTTCTCGTAAGGAAATCCAGCACTATGAAGTTGTTTGTAATGGACTGTCACCAGACTTTTTTTAAAAAATTCTTTATCTGGTCAGGAAATGTCCAGTCCTCCTAAGTGCTGTACACAGATTATATTTAATTGCTTTGTCAAAGAATATTGGAGTGTTAGGTTTCTACTAAAACCATTAATTTCAAACATGCAGTTTCTCAGAGAATTTTAGACTTTCACCTTAAATGCATATTTTTGGTGTAGGCAAATGAACATTTCCTGTCAAACCTTGTTATTTTTCTATTAATATAATACTTCTGTAAGTGGTTTAAAAGAGGGAGGGTAAAAAATAACCCCTAAACTACCAAGCTTTTTAAATCTTGCCAGGGCTATTCTGGTGCTTTACAGTTATGGCACAGGTGCCTCTATAAGGCTTTGCTTTTCAAAACTATCTTTAATGCTATTGTATTGTAACTCCTCTGAACCAATCTGGAGACAAAACAAAACAAAAAAAAAACAAACAGCAAGAAAGCTATAGAGAGGCCATATTTTGCAGAAGAAGAGATCCTCTGAATTTGGCATGGATAATTCACAAGCAATTTATAGAATGTGCTGGATGAATTGTGTTTTGCAAGTTCTCCCACATCTAATTCACCTTCTCTCTCCCACATGATGATTTTCTAAAAGCGACAGAGATCACCTATTCTAACCCCAGGGGTAGTTCCCACTCCCCCCTCGAATGATTCATCTCACTTTAGCAATCTGCAATTTATAAGCACCTCTGCTATTACTAAGTTTTTCATCAAAACAGTTCTTTCCAGCTTTAGGGCTGTTAGCCTTCGGAGCTTTTTTAGCTATTTGGCGTAGGTGACTTCAGCCCCACTCAAGGAAAGAGCAGTTAGGAAATCCCATGTAGGATTCAAGAGCAGAGCTGCCTCTTGAAAAGGGAGGGAGTAGGTTATTTTTTTTCATTTTCAGATCATGCCATAGAACTATCTTTTTTTCAGTTTTGTAAGGATTTTGGAGAGGCCTGAACAGATTTAGAAGATAAGCAGCAGGAATGGAGGTACCTGTTTTATGGTGCAGGCACTGTACTCCAGTGAGCAGAAGAGCATCAGGCTCCAGTGATGAGACATGGGAATACAGTTCTCATAGGGACAAGTTGCCCTCCCCTCTTACATAAAAGAAGGGCAGCAGCAAAGACCTCACTGAAGGTTATCTGTTTTCAGTGCCACAAAAATAATGCTATACCAGTATAATGTGCTGTTCTGCAGACTTGGAAAAGCTGGAGAAGCAAATTGAATCAAAATAACTTAGCTAACAAAGCCTTTATTATATTTGCCTTCAGGGATAAGTTGTATCATTTTGTTGTTGTGAACAAATCCTATTTAGTTCCTTTTATAACTCTAATAATGAAAAATTCAAAATACTACTCACTGCTACAATTTCCATTTTTAAAGTTTCAGTATCCCTATCAGGGCCTAAATTCATCTAAAGGAATGGAAGCTGAAGAAGAAATTAAACTGACTTTGGGAGCTACTCAGTCCAGACTATTCTTGCAGAGATGAACAAACCGAAGAAATTCAGTGCTTATTCAGGTACTATTCAAGGTATCATAAATTTGGTAAAGATCTCAAGGACAAGATTTGCGCATACACTGACAGGATGCAGACATCCTTGTTCTTGGCCTTACACTTTTAATGGCAATCATCCTTCTATACAAAAGAAAGTTTGTGTGCTCCCTTCATTTTTACAGGGAAATTTTCCAGGTGATTATTTCACTATAGCCAATGCTCAGAATGAATGCAAGGTAATTCACGAGGTCTGTAACCTCAGCTGGTGATCTAAGTTCAGTTCCTGGTAACCTGGTTCTCAGCACAGAGGCTGAAAACAGAATTGATTAAAATATACAAACAATAAACAAGCAAAAATAATAAATGGTGTAAAATATTTACTTTTACTTCTTAGCAGTAAGCCTAATGATGTATTTTCAATGAATGGCAGACAGGTAGTTTTAAAACTGCTATGCGATTATATGTGGAAGGACACAGGTAGCAAATAGTGATGAAACTATTAGAGATCTCATTAGGTGCCCGCAAGCAAGACAGTCAAAATCACTAACAAATATCAGAAAATTCTGCTGTTCAGGGAGACTGTATCACCACCAGTAAGTTTTCAAGCACTTAAATGACCACTGTCTCTGGGTTAATCAGCGTTTTTGTACAGATCTAGGAAACTTCTTTGTATCTGTACAACTTTATTTAAATATTCAGTGTGTTTGATACTGCTAGTGTGTTCTGTACGCTCTAATATAGCTTTTATTTGTAAGCCTTTTAGTGGAGTGTCAAACTGCTTGCAAATTTGCCCTGAGGTAACAAGAATAGGTTGAAGCCTGGCAAAAGTAAGTTCTAATATAAACCAGAGTGTCTGTTGGTTATGTTTATCTTGTGAAATCAGACCTCTGACTGAGATGCTCTTCCACTCTATTATGTGAATGCACTCTGACGAAAAGTACTTCCACAAGCATTAGTTTCCATGACGAATAATGTCTGTGTGTGTTTGTATACATGCTCTTACCTCTGTTAATTAGGCATCTGTTCCTTGTGTGTTGGGGTCCTTGTTGGACACTAAAAAGAAAGAGATGCAATTAATGAATAGTCATGTATATATCAGTGATAAATTAGGCCAGTACAGAATGTCTTTCAAAGTTGAATAATTCTCAAAACACATACCTAGGGTGAGTCGCCTGTTATGTGTTTTCCTTCAAATGTGAATACAGCACACATCCCCGGGAGCAGAGGAGTAATAGAGCAGCCACAAAAATAGGTGAGTGTTGTGTGGGAGAATGACATGAGGTGGGCTTTGTACTTTTAACAGCACGGCTGGCCTCTTTTGGTGGTGTAAAGATGTGCATTTGTGATGGTGAAGTATATTAGCAAGGCCTGAGGAGTAAGTACACAGAATATCCAGTTGTCTTTCTGAATTCCTTAGCTAACGGTTTGACTGTGGGCTTTGGCTTGTGAAGACCTGATTTGGTGACAAATGGGCAGGAAATTGTTTTTTTTTTTTTTTTTTTTTTAAACCGTGAACATCATATGAAGCTAAAAATACTTAAGAAACTGGAAATAAACCAGGTGAAAGATGTCGCTTCACAAGTCCAATGGGCAGCATCATAAACTGACAACAAATACATATTTATAAGACTGGCAGCCCTGTTGAAGTCATGAAAGAAAAAAAAATATTTTTTATGACTTCCACACACTCCAGTGCCATGTTACAAAAGTTAATATATGCTTGAGGATGCTGAGTTATTTTGACTTGGCTAACAGAGTTCAGTAAGGAAGTTTGAGTTCCCATGGCTCCAGATGTCAAAATCAGGGTCTGTCATTGCTCATCTTCCTATTGGCCACCAGGCTGCAGATTAAGTGCTGCTTCGGGGAAATGTCTCCTTAGATGCCACCTGCAAGCTGGAGCGGTGTCAACTGATGAATAAGCACTCTGCAAGCAACTTGGACTAAAAGCAAGGTGCTGATGAGGGGTTGAGGAATGAAGCCAGACGTTGGGGGATAGTGAAGCTAATCAATAAACTGACAGTTTGTGAAAGCTACATTGTGCTCCTCTGGGTGGTTTTTGGATGAGGCTGAGGAAGAGATTTGGTCTTTGGCAGCTGGTTGAGCAAACTTAATTAAACTTTACCGTCTGCTTTACAGTCACAGGCGTCTACAAATGTGGATATCAGAATCTGTAAGAAGAAGTTCTGTTGGAGGTTGCTTTTATGGCAGGGAATGGCCTGACTGCACAGTGCCTTACGGGAGCGGGTCTGTACTGAGCAGTCCACAGCAGCAGGCGGTGAAGTTGTTCTTCTGGATACGAAGGCCACTCTCAGTGACAGACAGACACCAGTAATGACCAAGCCGGTAAGTACCTACTGATCAACAGCTAACAGCTCAGCTGTGAAATAAATTGGTTTCACTTCTGTTCCCTGTGAAAAACTCATTGGAAAAAGCTCCTTGCCTTCCACAGCAGACCAGCTACCCTGCCAGTCTTGACAAGGATCCCAAGACTGGAACAGCTGCAGAGTCTGGATGGCCTGTTTGTCCCACAGGTGTATTTGTCACTAGAGGACTATGCCTCTGACATGCCTCCCAAGGCCTGTCTTTATTTAAAACTATTAAATTACTATTTTTTTTCTTAAAGGCTGAGCTTAATATTTGCATAAGGTAGTATTAGTTTTCTGAAGTCCATCTGAGTTATCATTTGTCTTTGTGGCCTTTGCCTTGCTCATTACCCAGCAGTGAAGCAGTTCTTGCTGCTGTGCTGAGGTGGAGAGCAGCTTATCAGTTATTCCCCATTTTGATGGGGAATCTTATACAACGCAAATCAGTATCCCTAAAACAAGACCTAGTTCCAGGTTCCACAGAGATCAGCTACGAGGGGATAACTACATGTATGTAAAGGCAATTCAAAGCATCTTATGTAGTTTCTGCAACTTTGTACTTATTTTTAGATGCTGGATGACTAAATCTGTGGGATGTGGCACATAAGGAGCCATAATGTAACTGCACTAGAAGGCAGATTTTTAAATCTCATTTTCAGAAACAGCTAAGTGAGATTCGTACAGGTAACTCAAATGTCTACAAGATTCAGATAGGCACTGTGTATGTTTTTTAAAAATACGTGTGTGTTACGAATATGGACACAGTGTGCATGTAAAAGCTATGCTTTTTTAGGACTTCAAAGGAAATTTCTCTCATCATCCTCATATAGACGTTATTTAAGCTGCTGCCATTTGTTCTGCTCAGGGACAAGCACAAGCCCATGCAACTAGAGTTCCACTTTTTGCTTAAGGGCAAGGAATCAGTTACCACGGAGCACGCTGAAGTCTAACCATGTTTGGATGCTCGTCCTGCCCTTGTGGGACCCTATAGCAGCAGGATGCAGCCACCATGCTGTGAGAGCCTTTTGGCTGTCTTGGTTCGGTAACCTGCCTGCCACAGGAGACCTGTGAGGACTTCAAATGCTGAGACATAGATCATCAGTTCAGCTGTTTCCGTCCCGTTATCCTCTCTCGTCTTTCTTGTCTCACGGTATTTCACGGTTGGAAAAGTGGCTTTCCAAGTCATGTATGTGCCTAACTTACAGATAAAATTTCCCATAGGCAGTAGACTACTTCTAGTTCAGCACTACAGCGGTTTCAGGGAAGGTGCCAAGAGAAACCTTGCATGCCTGAAAAAAATGTAAGTTGTTCACATTTGAAAATGGAGCTTTGGTCCCCAAATCATTTATGTACTGCCATGAAATTTTACTAAAGATTTGTTGCTGCTGTTCTGTTGGCTGGCTTACATCTCTTCTTGGCAAAAGAAAAAGGTAAGGTATTATCAATGCCTATAGATTAGACCATGTATTTATTACATAGTAGTGAGACAAATTATTGCCTGTCTGTACTTTTCCACAAATGAACATTCTATATGCTTAGTCCTTATATAGTTGTTCTTAAAATAGTTATTGTTGCCTTTTTTTTGGGTAGATATTTCACTCCAAGAGTGACAGAATTTCCTTTTGCTTTGCAGTCTTTTTGTATGTGTGTGCTAGGCAGTCCTATATTAAAACTGTTGCAAAATGAGATACAGACTTCAGGATAGTAGCAAATGTTACAATGGAAGACTGAAATGACTGCTCCTCTCATTAATAGCTTTCATTACAGTGGAAGCAAGATCAAACTTAACGAGAAACTAAAAATTACGTTCCTTACTTATAGCAGAAGTTTTCTGCTCTCATTAAATAAAACTCAAATTCCTTTTTTAACAGGGTTCTGATAGGATCTGTTTAAATGCTAAATCAAGTCTTCAAAACAGCCTAGGAAAATGGATCTCCAAATCCTGATTTCAAACATGGAACTCGGAGATAGTCCCATGTTTTTAAAAGTACAGCTGGGGAGTCTGTATACAGAGGTAAGAACTAGGATTTGTTAAACACATCTGAACTGCTGGCATTCATGCATACAGTTCCATTAAATGGCATGTGGTACAAAAAGTCTCTGCAATGAATGCTTTCAGGTCTGCTTTCCTTACGAATTATTGAAGAGAAAAGAATGCAATTGTTATTTTTGTTTCAGGCAATTTATTTCTGTCTGGACTTAGGTATTGCTTTTCTGAGATCTTTCTTTACTCTTGTCATTAATATCCCTCCAGCTGTAGAGTTCCATCTGTTAACAGTTCTTAGGTTCAAGAATTTAAATCTTTGATAATATGTGTACTGTTGGACAGGAGAGGGGCCTACATAATTATTCTTCCTATTGTATTTCTGCTTTATATTATATTTCTGCTTTATATTCATCACAGGAAATAAAACAGCATAACAGAGGGCAGGGAGGTTAGGATCAGAAGGGAACATAGTGATCATTATCTGAGTTACTGGATAATACAAGCATTATTGTTACAGAAAAATTTAAATTCTGGTGCTCATACTACATTTCTGCTGGTATGATTCACTAACTAACTGGATTCTGGAGAGGGAGGACAGCACCAGCAACAGGATTGATGTGGCCTTAAAATAAAACCCTACAGCCACATGGTTTCCCACAATCGCCCTCGTGTCATGGCAAGCTTTGCTCTGCCTACAGAAAAACAGCTTTTAGAACAAATGTGGCAATCCCAGGTCCTGAGGCTCTGAGCACCTTGTGACGGTGATGCCGGGCCCCCTACAGACCACGGAGGACTCAGATTAAAGCTGAAATAAACAGTCTGAACTGCAACTCTGCCTCTGGGCCAGCAAGAGTTTCCCTTAATTACAGTATCTCAACTATCAAGTCTATGTAAACACAACACTGCCTAATAGAATAATGAAAGCAGTACTGTGGATTAGTCTTTGCTCTTGCAGTAAGGAAATAAATAACATATTCAGCTGGTTATTTACATAGAAAGGTTGTACTAAGTCCAATGTAAAAAAAGAAACACTACATTTCCCCTCCAAGAACTTGCACATACTAAAGTTTATAGAATTCAAAAGCCTAAAGCCAATACCATCTAATATTTCAAAATAATAAGAGAAAATCATTTGCAAGAAATACAGGTGATTTATACTGCGCCTCACAAAGGCGAGAAAAAAACATCTTAAATGACCAATGGCATAGCTTTTACTAATGAGTCACAATTGTGAACTGCTGTAGCAATAGAAAGCTCATCAAGAATGTGCAAGTGCAAATTGATAGCTGATTTACAAATAAAATATTGAAGTCATCATGTAAATTGTCATAAAGAAATCATCTACTCTAATATGACAAAGCAGTAGGAAACAGCAACTACAGAAAAGCTTGTTAAATTTTCTGCCCCATTAACTCTCACTGAGCTCATCTTTGGGATGAAATCTTGACCCTGCTGAAGGACCGATTACATTAAAATAACTTAAATGTGGAAAGATGCAGGATATGCTCATTACAAATCCCATGCCAAAGTCTGCCTATGCTTTGGATCAGACCTCTGCAGTATACTTATTAACAGCTCAAGTCTTTGGTGTTTTGAAAGCCAAAAGAAAGTGTAACTTAACATGCAAATTTTCCTTTCCTAGTCTGTTTCCAATACTGGCGTCTCTAAGGTGGCGCACTGCTTCCTTTAAGTGAAAAACAAACAGCAGAAATCAATAACAGAAGTTTGCTGTAGAAATAATGAAAAACTATAAAAAGCTGGGCTCTAACATTCTGAACACCAAACTTCTCTCTCCAGAAAAATCATTTTTAAAGGCAGAAAAATATCTACTATATGCTACAAGTAGATGTTAATTTTAGCATTTATTCCCAAGAGTCTTGTGGAGTTTTTTTTTCCCTATCAGTGAGTTGTATTGATTCTGGGGTTAGATTACAGAGGCTTGGGTTTTTATTTTTTGCTTTGGACAAGTGATTTTTTTTCCCTCAAAATCCCAGTGAAGACCAGACAACTACAGTGCTAGCATGAAGTAAATTCATTATGTTCACACCGGGGTAACGGTGAAAGAGTTTTCTGTGGTACCAAACAAACTAAAAGTCAGACATGCAACTGGGGGTATAAACCACCCTTTTTCCCTTAAGCACTGAAACCAAGCCAAGTACATCTTCCCTTCAAATACAGGCATCTTCAGATTAAAAAAAATAATTAAATAAATCTTTGCATAGATCAGACCTACCCAAGTAACCCCCTGGACTGACAGCGCAGTGCCACAGGTAGACCCAGAAGGGGCCACCCCGTGCCCTTGCACTGCTGCCATACAGCTCATGTTGTGCTGCTGGTGCACTGCGCTCCTAAGCTGTTCCAGGTCCCTGCACTTCTGCTATTAAGTGTTCCACTGCACTGACAAAGCTCGTATGATTTCTTCAGTAAATGCAAACAAAAAGGGCATTTAATCTCTCCTTGCGATCAGCGTCCAATAGCTCTCCCACTCCACTGAGCAGCAGACTGGCTTTGGTTTTTCTCTTTCTACTAATGTACTTAAAAGACAGCAAGAAAATATTTTTGTTAATGCATGGCCTCATATAAAATGAGGGCACAACCTCTTCTTCCAGCTGTCTTGTTAAAAGTAATTAACAAAGCTCCTCACTGTGCCTTTCTCCTTAAGCATACCGTCTAGCTTTGATGCAATTCTCTCAGTGACTCACTGTGTGGGCTTTTGTAAATCTTGTTTTTGTGCACCTTCATTTACTCCATACATTGAATATAAAGGAGCTGAAGAGCATTTCTGAGAATTGTGAATTTCAGCAGGTAGATTCAACACTTTCAGACAGGCATAAAGCGTGCTGGAGTTAATATATATTAGCAATGTATGTTTGAAGTAGTTACGTTTCTTAGCTGACACTATTCAATAGCACATTTGTTTTGTTCAGCTACAGAAAGTTGGTGGTTTCATAAAAGATGCATAGGCCTACGCATCACTTAACAGCGTAAAATAAAAGTCTTAGGAGAACAGATTTAACTCGGGATTTTAACCAAATGCAGCAGCACCTACATTTAGGTAAAATAATGCCAGGAAGCCTCTCAAATAATCAAGTAATAGTGGGAACAGGTATCTCTAAGATCCAGAACCATAAGCAACAAGAGCCTTGGGAGCTGATGGGCATGTCACTCATAACACCAGAAATCACAACCCCCATTTTTCACCTCACACATAGGAGCCAAAATTCATAAGATTGTTTTCCAAACTGATCAAGATTCACATCAAGAAACCTAAATGTTCAGATTCATACCTGTAGAGCGGACTGTGGTCTCCGGTTTTCGTTCTGCCACTGTTTAAATTTGTCAAGGGCTTCATCCACAGAAATTGCCCCCTTTTTCACTTGTTTCTGCAAATGGATAAGTTCTTCCTGTTCAGCAGGGATGCTGTGTTTCACAGTGGTATAAGCTACTGTCTCGCTGGGGCGTCTGTGTGCTGCTACAAAATGTAAAAAGATAAATATTAGTAACTCATTTCATTCCTTTCTATTCTTTTTTATCTGATATCAATTAAAACCACACCATCTATAGGGTGGTTTTCCCTGCCTCTCTCTTTCTCCCTCTTTTTTATTTTTTTTGTTTTCTGGCAATGAGAGAAATACAATGAATCAATGAGGTATCTACCATTAGTCTTTGGCAGCAGAGTAACATCTTTAACATTTCATTCCTTACTATTGCCCAGATCCACAGATCCATTAACATCAAGTCATACAAGAATTTCCTTCCAGTGCTAAAGCTATAGCCCAGACACTTTAAAAGAAATCATTGCCATGTTAAGACACAACATTTCCACAATGCCCCCCACTCCTTCCCCAACTTCAAACATTACATTTCTCAAATGCTGGGGTTGAAATTTGGTCAGAAATCACCATGAAATTTCACATGATTTTTTTTTTTCTTCCCAAATATAATTACTAGATACACTGCAGTGACAAGCTGTTCCAACCTAGTCCTCCTACAGATTACAATGCAGGTGCACAACTGAAGGGAAACATCAGGGAGAGGTGCGTTATCAGATGCACAGCTCGCTCTAGGGAGGTGTAGCACCATGTGTATCTCCAGGACGTGGATATGAAATGGCTGGGACAGCACACATCTCCGTATGAGGATGTTGCAAAGGTAACAAAGCACTTGTTTCAAACTGCAGCCAGTCTGGAGAGTGCAGCCAGGCTGCGAGTTCAAACCACGGTTATTAATTGGGTCAGTTTTTCTGCTGTGTTATGCACCGGTATTTTTAAGTGAAGAAGGACCAGGCAAAGAAAAATACATTAAGGAAAATAAAAATAAACAACAGCTACTCTGACTTCTCCTACTTCCTCCTTTTGATCACA